CAATTTAAGCTTCCCTTCACCCAAGGATACTTTGTACCAAGTTTGGTTAAAATTGGCCCAGTGGTTCTTGAGAAGAAGTTGAAAATGTGAAAAGTTTACAGCCGGACGGATGGACGACGGACAACGGGTGATCAGAAAAGCTCACTTGAGCTTTCAGCTCAGGTGAGCTAACCAAAAAAAAACATGACGCTGGAAAAAGGTAAACTGCCGTGCCATGCTAGCTTGCTTTAGATTTAACACCATCAAACACTTGCACTACGTGTTGAAACGATTTTTGCATGGAGGCCGCCATTGCTGGAACTAAAACTAATACCGAGGTGGATGACGGAAATCGCGAAAATTCCGGAAAATAAATATGAAAATTGCCGAAAAAAGTTTAGGGTCGGGGATCTAAAATAGGGACGGTCGGGTAACGGGAACCACACATATTTTTATTATTTGGCCTAATAATATTCCATACATGATTGAGCTGTCACCTGATGAACCTTTAATTCTTTTCTATTTTTTATATGCTTTATATGTATACGAATTATAAGAGTAAGTGTAAGTCCCAAAACTTATTTTGTGACATCAATTTCATACATGTACCTGTATTTGAGTTGCCTTTTTGAGGATATACCAGGTAGATTATTCAAAGTCAATGTACATGTAGTCTTAGATGCTGCAGTTCTCTTGTACTTTAGCTATAAAATAAACCTTAATGTATACAATTGTGTAAGATGAAAGAATATTTCAAACACTGCATGAAACAGACCAAAACTTTAACCAAAATATCCTCTATAACATGCTCTCTAAACTGAAGAATATGGTCATATAATTGCAGTCATATGAATTTTGTTCAATGATAAATGCAGAGAGAATTTGCAGAATATATAAAGAAAATCTTATCGATGGGAAATAAGCAGGTCCAGTACAATCTCTTAATTTAGCTATATAGCTTGAAATAGCTATATAGCTTTATTAAGCTATTCACAATAGCTTGATTTAGCTATTTATATGCAGTTTTTCACAAAAATTATTTTGGTAAGAAATAGACAAAAAGTCGCATGTATTTGACTATTCATACATGTGCTATGGGCTATCGAAACAACAAGCAAAATCAAAGATAGCTCCAACTTTGCAACTTTTGAATACTTTTAAGCAAAAGATAAATTTCTATTATTTGAGTGACTGTCCACTACCTTGTGTGCATTGAGGCATGGATAAGTATGATTGCTTCTCATTGTACTGAATTATTACCAATCAATTATCTTGTTGACCATATTAAATTGGCCTCCTTTATAATTTCATTGAAGAAGTAACTGTATCAATTGCGTATGTAGCCCAAAAACTTTTAGAACTTTGAGTACAAAGTCTCTTTTGTTTTTATTTTCCTAATTATCTCCCCTTGTTTAAGGGTCACAACCCTAGTTTTAGTATCAATGGAAGCCCTTGGCCCAAGGATATCCTGTGACAAATTTGACAATAATTGGCCTAAGGGTTCTTGAGTTTTGGCCCATATTCTAAAAAGTTTACGCACACCACACAAATGGCCATAGCATTAGCTCTTTGGGCCTTTGGCTCAGAAAAGCTAAAAATGAACCTCTTACATTGATTTTTGGTCGATATATTTTTTCTTTTTTACAGTTTTTTGTACAGTTTTTTGATGAACAATGTACAGTATTTTCACCCAAATTCCTGTATTTTGAGGACTGCTGTACAGTATTTGGGCCTAAAAATTATCACATGTATGCAAGGAGATTTTAATGAGTGAGTTTTAAATGCATCAATTTCAGATGAGTTCATTAGGTTGAGTATCATCACTGCACCAAGGTGCGACTTTTTGTGCATGCTGAGAAAAGTACACATTTAAGAAAAAGTGATATAAAATAGCTAAATTAAGCTATTCTGAATAGCTTAATAAAGCTATATAGGCTATAGCTAAATCAAAAGATTGTACTGGACCTGATAAGTGCTTTCAAGCATTCAATACTTAAAAAACTAGACCCACTGACACGCAACAGCTAAATTTCTGTTGATAAATGAAGCGTATTCTGAACAAATTATTTACCCAAACAAAGGTGATGCTGTCACAAGATGACGTTCGTACCCATCTGACACTTACACTACTCCACCTTAATCAGCTGGAAATAACATCATTATCCTCGAATTCAAGAAAAATCTGTTAATAAATTAGTTGGAATGATGATATCAAAACTATTCTAATCAGATACAAATGTATAATATAAGACTTCTATTTCACCCAAGAATACCCAAGAAACAGGTGACATTCTCTGACTTGTTTACCTGTACTTCGATCGAAATTCTCCTTCTTTTTGCTCCCACCCAAGCTTTTATGACACTCAATTTATCCATCGTAGGTCGGAGAACCCTTCGGCCTTGTACAACTGCTTAAACTTTCCTTATACGCCTTGTGTAAACCATAAACATGCATCTCCATGTGTGAGGTTACAGAGGTACCCGAAGTTAATGTTATCGAAAAATCTCGCGAGTCACGTGACGAGACTTAGAGACCCTAATGCAGCCCGAATTTGCTTGGTTCAAATAAAAATCTAGATAATCTTGAGGAAGGGAGCATTCATTATTTATTGTTGTAAGAAATGCAAATAGGTGATATCACCTATTCGAATTGGTGATATCACCTATTCAAATTGAATAGGTGATATCACTTATTCGAATAGGTGATATCACCTATTCAGCACGAATAGTTGATATCACCTATTCGAATAGGTGATATCACCTATTCATTTCCGATAGGTGATATCAACTATTCGAATAAGTGATATCACCTATTCGAAAAAGTGATATCACCTATTCGAATAAGTGATATCACTTATTCGAATAGGTGATATCACCTATTCGTATAGGTGATATCACTTATTCGAATAGGTGATATCACTTTTTGGCAGTAAATACCAAAACGGCGCCTAGGTGGAAGCCTGTCCACTTCTCTAAAGAGAATAGTGCCACTTATGAATTAAATTGCCCACAAGACAAAATTGGTTGTCCTGGGCGTCGGGCAATTCTATTTGTCTAGCCCTGTATATGTTGCATTATTATATACATTCCCTTACCAAAAATATTGCCTTCCTGCAAACATTTGCTGCAAGTCTGCAGCAAACATTGCTGCAAACTTGCTGCAGATATTGCTGCAAGCTTGCTGCAATGAAGCTAAGTAAACCATGGCAGCCTATACAAAGCCTTTGGGTTTGCAGCAAGTTTGCGGCAAGTATGCAGCAAGCTTGCAGCAAACATTTTACCATGCAAATGAGGTTTGCTGCAAGTATGCAGCAAACACTTGATTTTCCAAATATGGAAACCTTGCTGCAAGCTTGCGGCAAACATTGCTGCAAGCTTGCGGCAAACATTGCTGCAAGCTTGCAGCAAACATTGCTGCTAACTTGCGGCAAGGAATATAATTATTGTATTTGGCACATTCCTGCGTACAAGCAGCAAGTTCGCAGAAAGCCTTTGTCCTGACCTTAATCACTGGTCATATCTTTTTAAGTATTTTGGGAGAAACATATTCAAAATAAACCAAAGGCTTCTAAAGTTGAACTTCAGTATCTTAAATATTGATATCTATAATTTAAAATACCATACATATGTCGAAGTGATCTGTCTACTCTTTCCCTATGTATTTTAATCTTAATATCTCAAATTTTTGGATATCTCTAAGTTTCTTCTCAGTCCCTTTGAGTTTGAAATAATGAGATTTGACTGTATGTAAATAAAAATGTGATAAATGACATTGTTTCGAACTGTCTTTTAAAAATGATTAGCAAATAGTAACCACCTTTCAGTGCTCCAATTATTGAAATACAGTCAAATATCATTATCGAACTTGATGGGACTAAAAAAATTCTTTGAGATTTCTGAGAATTTGAGATATCCTGGGTAAAATACTCAAGAAATAAGCACTTGGGACTTCAAAATCACTTCGACATATCCATGGTATTCGAGATATCTGTGTTCAAGATACCAGACTGATACATGTAAAAATACTAAAATGACTTATTTTTTCCTTCTTCATTTTGTAGAGATGGGTATCAACAAAAATTTTGTATCGCGATATATCACGATTTTCCCCCAAAATATCATGATAATATCATAATATTTTTACATGTAATTTTTACTTTGGTTTTAAATGAATTTCTATGATTTTCTAAGAAATATAGTGTGAAAACATAACTTCCTTTTTTTCATTTTTATTTATATACTAATAAAGCATCTTTGGATGCTAGGATGCTGTTGTTTTACTGTTTTGCAACATTTTTTTTACTATTCCTGTAATTGTAATTCAAGAGTTTGAACAAAAAAAAATATTTCCGGAATTTATAGTTACATACTTAAGGAAGAGCTCTCTAAACACTGCTCAGTAAAGGGTTCAAATTCCATGGTAGTTTTATGCAGTTAGAGTGATCTGCCCTTTGATGTAAAATGGAAGAAATGGAACTCTACAGTTAATGACACAATTTAGAATAGATTATCATATTGTTAGCATTATGTTATACTAAAATAAAGTAATTGAAAACATTGCATGTTCATTCCCAATGTAAGTAAACAACAGTGATTGCTGTTCACTAAAACTTCATTGCCTTTGAACAATTTTCCTGGAGAAATATGGCAGTATGCTATGTTGAAAATGAAATTAAAAAATTCATTATGTACACTTTTATGTGATAAAATTTTCTCAAAGTTTAAAAACATTTTTGAAATTTGTTAGTGTTTAGAGCTTCCTTAATACCGGTATTTTAGTCTCCGTATCACAATACGTATCGCGCAATAACAAATCACGATATACTGGTATACCGATAAAATCACACATCCTTATCATTTTGGTCAACCAAGATTGGCAAGTAGATCTAAAAGTATGTCCATCTCCATATAAGAGGTAGGGATATATTTTTCTCATGTATTGAGGTAAGGCACAGTATTATAGACCTTGCAACCTTTGAACTTCACCTATAACCAACTTTTCAAAATAGTTCATATTACCGATGAACTTACCTTTGAGAGGTAAGGTTTTTGCACTGCTTGTTATTAAACATTCTGAGAATTACCAGTTTTACAGTCCATTTGACCTTGACCTTTGACCTAATTTTCAAGAATACTCTGAATACTCAAAAAGTAGGGGGTGTCCAAACTCAAACATCTTACTTTATCAGGTGCCATGGTAAATTTTGTTTGATACATTCACTGGAGAGATTTGACCATATGTGACAGAAAGTTGGGGGAGGGGGGTCACCAGCCTTTCATTGAAGATTTCCATATTATATGAATATTAAAACATGCTACATGTCTACAGACTGATGTCTCTTTCATGTTTTGAATTTGAGGGTTTTTATGTGTGTATAAATAAATACTATAATTCTATCTTTGATCCTTTCAATGGGAAATAATTAAGAATTGGTGAAAAATTTGATGCCACGTCTTTTAAATTTTCTTCTCAAGAACCAGAAGGCCAAAAAAGTTGAAACTTATGCGAGACTTCATTATAAAGAGTAGATTCAAGTTTATTCAAATCATGACCCCAAGGGTAGAATGGGACCACAATGGAGGATCAAAGTTTTACATGGGAATATATAGGAAAAATCCTCTGAGGTTTTTGAACAGTCTTATGATTTACACTTTAAATTATACAGATTCCTCAGCTGTTGGACATAAGAAGCATAAAAAACACAAGAAAAAGCACAAAAAGAAGAAGGACCTAAGTGAAGATTATGCAGTCATTCCTGAGGGAGGAGCCGGCAGTGGTCCTAAAATCAAACTCAAGCTGAAGATTGGTGGGCAGACAATGGGGACAAAGAAGTAAGTAATCTTTTGACATTACCGTACCCTTAAAAAGGTTCAGTATCCCTTTGCTTACTCACATAAACTATCAATTTAATTAATGCTAATGATTTTCCAAAAGAAATCTAATTTATAATTAAAATGCACACTATTTCAGCATATCTTGCTGGGCAAAATTTGACAAAAAAGCCCTTTTAACTTGACAATTTTATAGAGGAACAATAGTCATTTATCCTAGTGAGAATTATCTCCCATATTATAGGGGTAATGAGCCTTGATTTTCAAATTAAATATTAGAATGTCATGTATGTTTCAATACATTTATCTTAATTAATTAACTGCAAAGCAGTAACAATGGATGTGTGTTACATTTTTTTTCTTCTGACCATTATATTTTTTTAATGAATTTTTACTGAAATAGTTTATTGTCCTGCCTTAGTTTGTGAGTAAACATATTCATAAAGAGAAAATATATTCTCTATTCATATGAAGTTTGTTGATAATATATATCAATGATAGAATGAATAAATTGTCAAAAGAGTCATTGTTTTACTGGTGCCATACTTATAAAGTTGATACCTAATTTTGTTTCTTAAATTCGTATTAAATTACTTGTAAGCTTGCCATCAGTGGAGAAGACAGAAAACAGTGGAGATGATTCCCCCATTATTGATGTCACAGATGATACTTGGGGTGGTAAGTAAAGTACAAATATAAAAGTTAAATAACTTAACATTTATTGCTCTGGTTGTATTTCTTTGGGTCCAGAATGTCTTTGATATTTAGATCTAGCATTATATACTTAAGCTTTTTTCAAAGACTTTGGAGGAGGAGGGGGGGGGGGTGTCCAAAATTATACTTATTTAACATGTTTTCTACAAGGCATAATATAAAAAAATGGGCAAATATAAAAATTTTAAATGGACTTTTTCAAAAGGTGATGAACCCTCTTTCCCAACAAAGAAAAAGGGTGATGATACCTCAGACGAGGAAAAGGAGTGGCTGGATGCTCTGGAGAAGGGGACGCTAGACGATTCAGGGATGTTAAAAAGGAGCAAAGATCCTAAGCTAATGACTGCTAGACAGGTTATGATGACTCAGGGATGTTAAAAAGGAGCAAAGATCCTAAACTGATGACTGCTAGACAGGTAACAACGACTCAGGAATGTTAAAAAGGAGCAAAGATTCTAAGCTGGTGTCTGCAAGACAGGTAATGATGACTCAGGGATATTAAAAAGGAGCAAAGATCCTAAGCTGATGACTGATAGTCTGGTAATTATCCAAACTGATGACGGCTAGACAGGTATTTATCCAAACTGATGACTGCTAGACTGATAATGATCCCAATTGATGAGTGCTATACTTATAATGATCTAAACTGATGACTGCTAGTCAGGTAATTATCCAAACTGATGATGACTGCTAGTCAGGTATTTATCCAAACTGATGACGGCTAGACAGGTAATTATCCAAACTGATGACTGCTAGACAGGTAATTATCCAAACTGATGACGGCTAGACAGGTAATTATCCAAACTAATGACTACTAGACAGGTAATTATCCAAACTGATGACTGCTAGACAGGTAATTATCCAAACTTATGACTACTAGACAGGTAATTATCCAAATTGATGACTGCTAGAGTGATTATGATCTCAATTGATTACTGCTAGACAAGTAATGATCTAAAACTGAGTCAGCTAGACATGTAATTATCCACAATAAGTTAACTAGACAGGTGATGGCCAAAACTAGGTCAACCAGATATGTAATGATCAAAACTAGGTCAACCAGATAGGTAATGGTCTAAACCAAGTCAACTTGTCAGGTAATGAATCAAACGTATGATACCTTGAGAGGTAATAATCCAATCTGAGTCAAACAGTCAGGTAATGAACCAAACTAGTCAACAAAACATACTTTATGAGTAAAACTAAGTCAACCAGGCAGGTAACAATCCGGGTCAATTAGACAGGTAATGATCCAAATTAAGTCAGTGAGACAGGAAATGATCAAAACTAGGTCAACTAGTCATCTTTTCATCCTTGATCCCCCTTGGATTAATAATAATGCCTGCTGCAGAAGATCCAGAGCCTAATCTTTATCTCTCACATTAAGATTATGAATGAACACCTCTGTTAGCAAGTGATTATTGGATTTGATGAAGGCTAGCATTTAATAAAATGCATTTTTTATCCTAGTTCAAATACATATTTAATAATCAAAACAATTTTTGATTTTAATTAGGCTTATGTAAATACCTCATAATTATACGTACTGTGATATCTACCAGTAGTATGTGGCAATATCATGGCCAAAGCTTGACAATTTGATACAAGAGGTTATCACAATGAGATTCATTCACATATATTTACATTTGCCAATGTCTATCCCTATATTACAATACTAATTAAATTGACATTCAATTTTCTATGACATGAAGTTGGTCATGTGATCAGACTTTCTTGCATATGGCAAGCAAACCACACGAGACTTTTGGAAGGGCTAGACTGTCATGTCACATAATGTCGTACATGTATGTTATGTTGCATTTCCACAACAAATTTTAAATAGTGAAATAGTTTTCTTTGTAACAGGAATAAAATTAAAAATATAAATATAAGAAATAAGATATCATTTTTCAAGAGTTTCATGGGATATGACATGAAGTTGGTTTTGTTTGTTTGTATGTTGTTTAACGTCCCTCTCGAGAATTTTTCACTCATATGGAGACGCCACCACTTGCCGTTGGAGAGCTGCAAATTTTGTCCTATACTCGGCACTTACGGCCATTGAGCAGTGAGGGATCTTTTTCGTGCCAGCACCTACTGCGACACGGACCTCGGTTTATACGGTCTCATCCAAAGGACCGGTCTCCACGTCCCACAGTGGGATTCGAACCCACGACGTAAGGATCAACTCCTTACTTCGCGACTCTAGAGCAGACGCTCTAACCACTGCATGAGGTTGGTAAGTGATCAAGTGATCAAATCTACTAAAATGCCCTTTGGGCGTTATAGGATTTGATCACATGACCAACTTCATGTCATATCCCTATGAAACTCTAAAAATGATGTCTTACTTCTTAAGTACATGTATATACACTGAGTGTGGTAAAAACATTAATTTTTTTTTTAATTTTTTTAACAGAGAGCTCTTATTCATGGACAGCAAGCTGAACTACTACAACTACCCTCAGGTCAGAATATCAATGCTGCAAGTATTGTACTCATGTTTCTGCAACATTTATTAATAAATAAATTTATTATTTATTATATTATAATTTATTATAAATAAATTTATTATGGCTTAAGTACTTTTCTTAATTTTGGTAGACTCCTGTTTTAAGATTAGATATTTATTGCATCATATTGTCTCAATGTTTTACAGTATATGTTTGTGATAGGAATTATGAGGGGAAAGTGGTTGATTATTATATTCCTTATGTCAGTGATACCCAGTGGTGTTAGCTTCACTAACTGTATCAACTCCAATTTATAACATGCGATACATCCCAAAATTAATTTATTTTAAATTTTATCAGGTTTTATCTTTTGTATCTTCTTAACATGCTCTGTTGTACATGTAATAAACAGAAAATTGAATGTTTTGTACATGAATATGAAATTTATATCACTCTTGAGACAAGATTTTTTTGATATTTTCACTATGTGAAAATATCAAAAAATCCTGTCCCACCCGTGAAGTAAATTTCATACAGTTTACAAAACATTGAACATCCTCGATATGCATAATTGTATTATTGTTATACAAATGCAGTGGGTCTCAGGAATCCTAGTGCTTTTCACTTATTGAGTTACCTTTTTTGAAGAAATGATGATGGTGTTGATCATGATTATTAAGGTCTTCCCTCTTCAGATTAAGACATTCTTGTTATTCTTAGGTATTTTTCTGACCGATTTTATGCACGCGAGTTTTCGAAAACTACTCAATAGATTTGTAGGAAACTTTCAGGACGTATGTAACATCACTTGAATCTTATGTTTTTTTTTTTTCGTTTTGATGACGTCTCTTCTGCTCTAAAAAGTTTAAAGATTTTCGAAGGATTTTTGTCCGCAGATTTTCTCATTAATGGCTCTAGATAGAAACATGAAACCTTCAGGCGATGTGTGTAAATGTGCGTAAGGTATTTCATTTTTACCGAAAATGAAGCACGAGGCAGCTCGATAATGTCACGTGGTCAAGCTGGCTATCTCCAAAAATCATACAAATTCAACTAACTTTTAACAAATTTATTTACAAAAAAAAATAATAATGATAACAAAGGTTTCACACAAACAACCGCACTCTGATCCACACACTCTTCCACACTATTAAACAAGCCAAAAAAAAACAAACAAACAAACAAACAAACAAACAAACAAAAACAAAAACAAAAAAAAACAAAACAAAACAAAACAAAAAACAACAACAATTGATAACCAATAATCAAACAATTAAACAATTAACCCCGATTATATATTTTCAGTTATCACGTTATCAATGCCAAGCATTTCCCACTGCAGTCGTCATCTCCATTTTATGATTATCTTCGTCATCATCATCATCACCGTATGAATGAAACCATTTCATGTTTGCCAATTCGTCAGTTTTCGTTTAACGAGCTAACACAATGTTACGTGGATTGACTTATATGTATCTGTCCACCACCAGTGAATCTTGACCCACATACAGCATCCTTCCGGGCCTTAGTCCTGGAACCTTTCGCTCTGACTCGACGATCTTCTCAGCTTAGTCATGTATCCAGCATTCAGTACCAGTATCCTTGACAAAACAATGACGAATATCTTTAAGTCACATGTTTCACTAAATAATGTTTGGCAACAACACTATGTCTGGCAATTCATTCTTACAAAAAAAAAAAAAAAAAAAAAAAAAAAGTATAAAGTGTAATGGTTACCACTTAACCTAAGTCAAAAAAAAAAAATATTCCCAACATGGCTCACCTTACTTTCAACTTCCGGCCCTTCACTTCCGCCCTTACATTTAAACAAAAAATTAAATAGACAAAATATTTTACATAATGTGGCAAATCTGAATACAAAAAAAATTGCGAACAATAACACTTTTAAACTGTATCGATATAATACAAAAGCCGTATGAACACTCTCGCTAACCGTCATACCTGAGTGAACAACAGGTAAAATGGTGGGAGCTGGCCAAGTTCAGAAAAAAAAACGAATACGTTTTCGATAATAAATCTGCGTAAAAAACTATATACATAACGAATATTAATAAAATCATAATACTTACCAAGGACCTGTCTCTGTGCCAAAGTCAAGATATTGCTTGTATGGCTGCTATTTACATATACTCTAGCTGCTTTGATACAGAAGCGTGTCTGCAGCTACGCTTCTCTGCCGGGAATGACCAGGCCTCAGTTATTCTGGTCGGCTAAGCTATGTTGCAAGGGCTTATGGGTAGATAGGGCGAAAGGGAAAACGCGAAAAATACAAATTAGAGGTACATGTGTAATAGTGATTGCTACAGCTATTAACTCTTTTTCTAGAATATCTCTTTATCTGTCAATAACATATACATCAAAATTAAAAGGAAAAAAAGGACGGGTCCTTAAAATAAGGGATCTAGTGGGAACGGAAGACTTTCCTCAATATTTCAAAAAGTATTTAGAATTTGTGATACATAATAGAAGCAAAATTGTTAAGAATATTAAGTGGCAGCTGGGATGTTCATTAAAAGTTGCCAAATGACGTCAATTCTGGTCAAACTGGAAGTTGTCAGAAATGATATATTTTTACAAATATTTTAATCTAAAAGAAAAAATAAAATAAAACAAGCATAGAAAATTGCAGTAAATGAAACTGACACTTTTTTTAATTGTAAATATTATAAAGTTTTTATATATTTGAATTCTTATCAGAAGGTTCTTTTCCTTCAAAAGGCTTCAAATTTTGACCTTTACTCGGCACTCAGGGCCATTGAGGAGTGAGGAATCTTTGTCGTGCCAACGCCTGCCGTGACAAGGGACCTCGATTTTTAAGGTCTCATCCGAAGGACCTGCAACTTTCACTTCAAAGTGCCAAGCGCATGGTGAAAGAACAGTTGCTACCCATTTTTTATCGACTTAGGTCAGGCGCAGTCACGACCTCCCCATCACGGAGCAAGCGCTCTACCAACTGAGCTACCGTGAACATTACACTTCTGTATAGTTTTATCCACTTTACTGACCTTGGAAATAGGTGCTGTGTTATCATCCAGTACAAGTGTCTTCACTTCATGTCTTTTGTCTTTGATGGTTGTAGGAATATTCACTGCCATTGCAGGTTCCAGTGCCTTAGAACTCCCACTCCAGTTTTTCCTACGTTGCTATTATGTTGCTGGACAGGCACACCTTTCTTAGCTGCAGCATCACATATCCTACAGCTAGTGCTCATCACCTCATATACAGCAATCTTATTAGTATTACACCTTACCATGGAGGAGGCCTGACCTATTTTTCAAATAAAGGAAAGACATGTAATGTACATAGATTAAAATAACATATTTTGTTTTCAACATCTTTGGAGATGTAGAAATAAAATTCACAAATGAGTATATTACCTGATTTACTATTGTTATTCTGCCACTTCCTCTTTTCTGCCATCCTGCATCATAGGAAAGCCTCAGTCCATCACTGCTGCAAAAATTTATTACCATACAAAAGATGTGTAAATAGTATTATTCTATAGATAGAAAATATTGAAAAAGAAACAATTGAACATTTATTGCTGATTTATATCCATACCTTGATTCCTGAAATTCCTTTTCAAGAGCATCATTACAAGAGACTGTGGCAATCTTTACAATGGCTGGGCCCACTCGTCTTTCATGTTTTTTTTTTTTCAAATTCCGTGTAGTAATGCAAGGAATATTCAACACAGCAGATATGTTTCTGATAATAGCCTCCCCAATGCCAGCTTGCAGTAGTGCTATTTAAAATCATTTCTTTTTTTTAAATTTTATTCATCATATGTATCTTTTTGACAGTATTATTTAAATTAGTAAAAGGGGAGTTTCGATAAGGCCGCTTATCGGCCCACTTATTTTCATAAATATAAATTTCGTTTTATTTTTTCAAAATTGGTTTAGAATTCAAGATATATATGTTAATTTTTGTTATTTATATTTCAAGAGTTTATATGAGATGAATTCACGCCGTCGTTGGCACATTCTTAGATGTACCCTCAAATGCTTTAACATTAGGCTAATGGGAAAATATAAGAGGACGGCATATATTAATCGATGGTTAGAATATGAAGTGCATGAGGGACACTCACCTAGTTTTGTTCATTAATTAGATATACTCTGCACACTAATATCTTAAAATATGATGAGTGTCGCGTGTGCACTTCATATCCAAAAATTGAAAATTGTCTAATATTTGCATACCTAAAATTAGAAGCTCCTGGTTACTTGATCTTACGCCGTGTTAAAATACAAAGCCAAAAGTAGCATATTTTTTCTAAACCAAAGAGAACTCTCGAAAATATTAACATTAGAAAACATAATCGTATCCTATTGTTATTCCCATACTTATTTCGTCGACCGCGTATTACGTTAACGTCACATATTTAGCTCACCTACACGAAGTTGGGGAGCTTTTCTAATACCATCGTTATAGACGTTAAAGGTTATTAAAAGTTTTTAATCATTTTTTTCATATCATTAGAGTCGCTTGATCTAGTGTGTTTTCTTGTCATCTGTCGGGTTTCAGCTGCTGCATTTTCAGTTAAAGAATGTCCAGGTTAATGTTTATTGAACAGTGCAGCTATAAGCACTTGTTGAGAAGACGTGCTTCATGATGCATCTTCGGATACACACTGTCAGACTTGCTTCAGATGCTAGATCTGACTTACATTTTCTTGATGAATGCTTAGGGTATATATTTTGGAGCATGTCTTATTTTCATGTAACTGTAATCCCTATCTTGAAGAAATATGCACCGATGATGCATTTAGGGTTACACATTACCAGAACTGTTACAGATGCCGAATCTTACATTTTCCGAATGACTGACTGAACTAAAGAGAAGTTTGAGGATTAGTCCATTCATTAACGTTCTTTATCATGGATATGGTTATAGCCATTCCTTTGAATAGAAACTCTCCTCGCTTCAATCTGTTAGAGAAGGTTCACATATATTTCCGTGTGGTCTACATGTAGGGAACGTAGATTACTTTTAAGACTGGATGTTGATTTGTACGTTTCTGCAGGATATGATTTAACACATACATTTAATTTGGTATTTACAAATGTATTTTAAATTGCGGCTATGGTCTAGCAAATTAAATAGTGACTAAAGTTGGTGAAACAACATAAGCATCAAAAGGAAGTTGGGAAGAGCGAGGAATTACATGTAGGTCCTCGCTTGCCTGAATTGTCTCATTTTTGCTGAAAACATAATGCACCTCTTTATGTGCGTAAATACTTTTAAGTTTAAGAATGAATA